GACGGCGTGGAGGGCTGGATCTCTCTCTGGGGGAGGGCGGGAAAAAAAATTGGGTTTTAGGTTTTAATTTAAAAATGAATAAATAAATGAAGCTGACCTGAAAAGTAACGCCGGGGATTTTGGGGGGCAGCAAACAGTTTTCCTAAGCAAGAGGCAGAGGCGCTGAAGCGGAGGGCTCGGAGGGGCAGGTTACCACAGAGGTTTGGGAGGGGGATGTTTGGCCAGGGCAAGGAGGGGAGCAGGGGAGCGGGGGCACCCCCAGCCCCCCGTGCCTGCTCTCCTGAAACCCTGTCCCGATTCCTTTCCAGGGTACGCCGCCTGGCCGGGCCGCCGGCTGCCCTGCAGCTGGGCCGAGCAGCGCGCTTCTCTCCGGACGTAACATGCCAGGTTCTCCTCCGCCAAGTGACGCACAGGTCGGGCCCCGGCTCAGTTTTTGCAGAGCGGAGACGCTGCGTGGGATTATCCCCTCCGCCCCCTAAAATAGCGATCTTTCAGACCCGTTAGCACACTCTAAAGGAGAAAAATCCAGAGCTGCTGGTCCTTGCTTCACCAAGAGGTGCGTGCCGGGTAATGGTGCTGTGTCTCACGCCTGAGTTCAGGGCTCGTGCTTGCTTGTTCTTGCTCTGCTTCCACAACTCTCTCAGCTTTTGAATTAGCTATTTAAGGATTTTCCCTTTTTGCAATAAGGCAGTCATGTATTTAGCTGCCCCTTAAATTGTCCTTGGGATCCTGCATACTTGTAACAGCTTTTAAGGAAGTACATTCCCTCGCTCCTGAGATTTGAATTTTGTATGCTGAAGGCACAGTTATGCACCGTTTCCTGCTGTCTGCCTCTTCAAAAGCCTTGTCTGGTTCCTTCACCTGTCCTGGGAATTTTAGAAAAATAGATCCCCGAGACTCACGACAGTGTCGGTTCGTTCCCAAATCTCAGAACCTGTTTTACTGTCAACAAGAAACATAAAAGTAACATAACGTAGTTATTTTAAAGCAGATTTAGCCTAACATATGTGCCTGATGTGTTAGCCCTGACCAATCTTAAGAGGAGAAAAAAAGATATGAAGTCTGGCAGAGGTATCTTTCCTGGGTCTCAAAATCTGTTGGAGGGGAAAGTTACTTACTCTTGTATACAATGAAAAAAGGAATTTTTTCTTTTCTTGAGTGAAACTCTGGTTTGGGGAACATGCGCTGTTTGCCATTGACATGACATTACCCAAACTTTCTCCCTACATTTTCATGGGGAAAAATAATTCTTTGTCTGTATTTCATTTATGGTTTACATTAGTCATCTATTTCAGTTAAATCCTGTTTCAGTGAAAAAGGCAGATATGAAATATGAGGCAATTGTGGGAAGACCAAGGATGCTAGTATGTCTTCCCTAATATTGATGTTAATGTGGCCGGTACAGCACTAGCAGATTCGGCAGGTGGACTTAGAATTCTGTAACTAAACAAGACTCCAGGGTTTCTATGTTTGCATGTTGGTATCAGGCTGTTCCTCTACTTTCCTGCTGTGTGAGCTCTGGGACTAATTAAAAATGTGTTCATGCTTGTATTTGAACTGAATTCTTCTCATGTTCTGAGTTCATGAAAGTTAAAGTCACCAGGCTCTAAGCCTAGAATAAAAAGTGTAAAAGCTCCTGGATTCTTTCCAATAATCCACTTGACAGTAACAAATATATTGGAAGAACTGTAGAAGCTGTTTCTGTATTGTTGACTCTGGATGCTTTGCAGGAATTTTATGGGGAGGAGAGACTGTATTACACTGCTTCTCTGTTGTTTCATGGATTGGTTTTCCTAATGTTTAGAGATTCAAATAGCTTGCTTCAACACCTAATTTGTAAACTAACAGAGATTGGCTTAAATCACCCAGTAGTACAATTCGGAAGGACACCCAACTGTTCATATCTGTTTACAGCTGTTGGAAATAATGCCTGAGAAAATCTGAGGACAAGCAGTCTTAACTTTCAGAAATAAATTGATCCTGAAAATTGATAAATGGAGAAAATATCAGATCAAGTTCTGCAAAAATGGCCTTGCCGTCTTACATTATTTTTTAAGCTTCAACAGGAGCAGGCCAGCCCGTAGTCCTTTGAGGACATTGGTGCTGGGTGAATTGTGTCATGAAGTTCTCCATCACTCAGCGCAGACATTTGGAGTACTTGAGCAGCTTTATGTTTAACATTCCTATCATTTGTCTAATATACAAGGGTTATTAGGACATTTCATGTGTGAGATCTCTTTATCAAATGAGAACCTGTAGTTTGTAAAGCTCCTTCATGACTGGTACTCTAAAGGAACAAGACTGCTTTTTTGTCACCGAAACAACATAATCAGAAATACAGTAGATTTGTTGGCTCTCTGACAACTTTACTCTGCTACCTGCCCCTTCAGGGTCCATGAAAATCCACACTCCTGATCTGCCATGAAGCAACTACTCTGCCAGAATTCCCCTCCTACTGAGATGATTTCTTTTGCGTAACTTAGAAGCCCGTGGACCTTTGTTCTTGATCTCACTATGTTTCTATGGCATAGGCAATTTTGTGTGAACATTGTTAAAACTTTATTTGCTCTTAAATACACATCTGCTGGGCTAAAGTTTAAAAATGTCTACACGATATCTGTAGGAATAATGCTTTTGTCTTTAATATATCTGCTGTATTACTACATGCTTTGTTGTTGAATTTTCTTAATCTTGACTTTATTTCATTTTAGGAACTGTTGTTGAATGTTAGGAAACAAAATCTATGGATCTGTGGATCTGTCCCTTAGAGATAACTACAGCTGCAAGAACTGCACTTCTGAAAGCAGGTTGGTTTCAGGGTCTTTTGAATCTGATCTGCCCTGTGCAGCATCTTTAATTAATTTAAAAATGAAAGTACCTATATAGTTCTGATGGAAACAAAGTTGCTTTATTTTTTACATACGTTATTACATTCAGCTCCGAGTTAGCAAATGTATCTTTTACAAAATAATATATCCAGTGTGTTATTACCCATGTATTTCTGTAAAATTTAGCGTATAAAGTCAGGATATAGCAAGATAAGAGGAATTTGATTTTGAGATTATAGGTTGCCACGGACTGACTACGCATTAGAAACAGGAGTTTTACTGTGAGTAGAATAAATATTGAAAATGGTGTGAAAACAGAAGATGCTTGAAAGTGAAAGGCAGCTAAATAAACTCTTACCCACCATCCTTTTTTTTTAAGTCAGACTTTGGAGTAACTTTTAAGATTATATACCACAGGCATAGGCAAAGTATTTAGAAGCCCTTCAGAAATCCTATTAAATTGTTTGTGCCTGCACTGAATCAAGTTAACCATTTTTTATGCTCTCATTCATTATTCAAAAACATCTGTGTCCACCGCAACACGATTAAGAGAGCTCTGTTGGGGACATGTTGTAAGAAGATGTAGCACGGTAATTTTTAAAAGATTAGTTTTATCCTGGAGTATATGTGGTTCTACCTCCCTCTTTTTAGTGATGATGAAGACCCTGTTCTGAAAGGTTACCTGCTATTGGGCTATTCTTCACTAACTGGTCGGCTTTTCCCGGTGCTCTAGCCTGTGCAGTAAGTGCAAGCCTGGATAAGCCAAATGGCTTATCTACTCAGTCAGCTTCTTACTTTTTTATAGCGTGAGGCCTGACGTAAAACACAGCCAAATCAGGGGGAATCTTTGAATGGAGATGACCATATTTTGAATCTAGCGTTCTTGTCATTCCAAAAAAGTCTGAACCTGCCAGATCTTAAGCTCTGAGCATGATAGTTATTTTGTTGTCTCTGCCCTATTGTGGCACTTGCTTTTCATTCACCTGCATGAAGAGCATCTGCCTCTGTCGTGCTCCGAGACCCGCGTGCTAAGCAGCAGCTGATCAGCAGTTCCACGATTCACCAACCATTGTAACCGGAGAATGGGGTCCTGGGGAAAAAAAGAGGCAGTGGTAGTGTATGCATCTGAGGAAATGTCTCCTAGAAGGTGAGGAGGTAGATATCTTCCCCTTTTCTATGTGCCCAAACATGGTTGGGGATATATCCATCATACAGCTGACTTGCACCTTCGCACAATCCCTCTGTGATCCGACATAAAATTGCATACCTGAGGTTCTAGTAATTTGAGATGCTGTAAGTGGGTCTAGGAGACAGACTATCTCAGAAACTGATCATAGTTCATCGTTAGATCAGCAAGTTAGAAGCTTACGTTTATAAGCAGAACTTTGTCATAATCTTCAGCTTTGTAACATAAGACTGTACAATTGAAGTCTGAAGAAATGTGCTGAAAATCCTGTCTAAAGTCTTAAGACTTAATGTATTTTTACAGGCACTAATGCATCTGATTTGTCTTCTAAGCTGAAAATAAAACAATATACAGGTGGTTAATTGTAAATTACCTAACAAATTCTACCATGGAGCATAGCTCCAAGTTCAAATAGCTATTGAACTTACTACATTTCACTCAGTAACTTTATTATAGTCCACTAAGCTGAGATCAGCAGCTTCTTTCAAGAATTCATTTCTTGAGAGGCTTGAAAATTACCTGCAGAGCTGATGCAAATCATAATGAAGGAGAGGACATGTACTTCTAAAAGCTCCCATAATTCTGAATGTCATAGCCCTTCACCACTAGAGGACAGCAAGACCTCAGGAAAACGGGGTTGTGAGACTAGGTAGAAGAAAAATAAGGAAGTTGCTTGCAGAGTTAAGAAAGTGTTATTTCAGAAGTAGCATGCTTGTAGCTATGATCAAGCTTCTTAGAGCATTCAGACAGTTTTGGAAGTTGTTTGGAGTCGAAGTACAGAGCAGAGGGGTAGATAAATGGGGATAAGTTTTTAGTTTATCTAAAGTTTTATTGTGGTGTACGTATCAGCCATAGATAACATTATTTGAAAAGCACAGTACTCGCTAGTTCTGAGAGCCAAATACTGCTTCATTCAATTCACTGATAGTTTTGCACTGCTTTCAGTGAGAAGAAGGCTTTGCTTTGTAATCTTAACACCAGGTGTTCTGATTTTCACGGGAAGAAGTCAAATGGCCTTATGGAGGAAGGATTTTACAGTTCATAGTTCAGAATGGAAAAAATAATCTGAAACCACTGGAATGACAAGTTCTGCCTCCACACAGAACCATAACCATACTTAACCATACTTATGTTTACCAGCTTGTAATGCAAGCGCTCATGAAATGTTTCAACTTGAAGTACAGGAACTGGTTTTAGAACAACTTGGTTCATCATGAGAACCAAACTTTTCACCTTCATAGCTTGTGTATGTCAGACAAGATAAACTTTTGTAACCTTTTTGACAAATGACTCAGTGACACTTCTCTGTTGAACTCTTAGAAGAAATTGTGAAGCAACCATATTTTACCATAAACCTGAACTGGGTTTTAACTGAAAATTCAACAATGAGTTACAATCCCAGCAAGAAAGGAGCTCTTGAGCATCCAGTTTATCATCACTGCATCATCACTGAACTGAGAAGGACATCTCAGTTTTTGCAGTCTCACGGTCGTTTCATCCCAGGCCAGTTGGCTGAGTATTGTGTGTGGGCACTATGCCCTAGGACCAAACAGTCTTGTTCACCAGAAAAGGCTCTGAAAGGGAGGAAAATGTCCAAATAAACAGCAAAAAAGAGAACTATTAATGACAAGCAATTGCTCTCTCCGTGGTATTTATTACCTCAGCCTAGAGCCACAGAACTACCTAGGTGCCCAACATGAGATCGACATAGAAGAGATATGCTGAAGATTACACCAAATAATTTTTAAGATAGCTTTAGTGTGCTCTCTACAAAACCTTCCTGCTCTTGGGAGTATGCAGTTCAATAGGACCTAAGTGAAATTTGCTGAGTACTTGTGTGTGGCATTGCTCGTACAAAGACCATCTGCCTTGCCAGAGCCAAGTGTCCCAATAGTTTATCCTAATCTAGATTTGCAAATTAAGCATCCAAAATCTAGGCTCCCAAAGGGTTTATTTAGTAGGTTTGGTCTGAGCATGCCTCACACTATCGAGTTCAACAAAATTTTCTTCAAAAACATCTGCAAATGGTGCTGCCACCCCATCCAAAAGGTTGACACCTGAGTTCATTGCCTTCCTCAGCCTACCGCAATTCAGTCCTGTATCTTTTGTTTCCTAGAAGAGTGCCCTAACCAAGAGGCACTGTAGGGAAGAGTGAGCTAGGACCTTCTGCAGCAGTCTTGTGAGACCTAGTATGTTGTTCAGCAGAGAGCGCGTGGTTCATGGGGCCAGAGAGCGAGAGAAAATTAGAGGGAAGCTTCCCAGTGATTCTTAGCACCTACGGTGTCAGGGAACACGTAACTTAGTTCTGGTAACATTTGAAACTCTGATTTCAGGTCTGAACAGGTCCCCATAAAAGCCTAGATGCTCTGAACTCCTGCTTTCCAGAGCAAGGCCTTTTTTACCTGGCTGAAAATTAAATATTAAGTTTCTTCGGTCTTCCCTTGATCCTTCCAGCTTTCATTGTGTAGCTAGAAATGCTCACTGTTGAAGGATGCAACTGTATTTTATTATTTGTCCTGCTGAGCAGGATATCATTATAAACAATTAACCTGGGCAGTAGGAAAATTGCTGAAATGTATGAAGGAAAGAATCTCAAGCATTTTCTGCAGAGTTCATGTTATTAGAAAGAGCATGTGGTTTATTGTGTGCTACATTAAATCTGCATGTATGGCCTGCATCTGAATGATGTAGAATTTTATTTCTAAACTGCTGCCTGGCATGTTTGTTGAGTTAGTTTATATGGTTTTCTAAAAATACCTCGGGCTCTTGAGCTAACAGTTTTTTAGCGCTTTGTTGTTTGTAGTGTTTAAATTCTCTGTATGAGACATGCATTGATGATGATGATTCTGAATATCCTGAGGCTATAATTGACTGGCACACAGAGAGATTAGTTAACCATTGCATAATAGGGATGGCTGGAGAACAGTGGAGCCACATATATTCATTTAAACATACATCATTTTAAAAATGTGACTCAGATGAAGAAAGGCTTTGTAGTCAGACATATATTAAATTAAGTTACAAGTGTTGTTTGAACACAGTGAATCCATGTTGTGGCATTGCTGAAATTAGAACAATGGGGTATAATATGGTGAAAGATCTAGTTAGTTTTTCTCTGATACATGTGAGGCATGCCATTACAGTAACTCTGCTGGGAGGACTTTAGGTTGAAGGTGTAAAGGTCTGTGATTACATTCCAGGTTCGTGTCATAATTCATCTTACTTCAGGAGTTTTGTAGCAACAAACTGTGACCAGAGAGAATGGGAGGGGTGAAAAAGATTAGTTTGTAGTGCACACAGCACGCATGTGCACTCGCGGAGTTTTTTATGGTATGTTAGTTGGTACCTTGTGTCTCCACATTAGGAGTAGCTTAAGTTTGTGGATTGTTAATATGCAGGTGTATCTAGAAACGGCATAGTTGTTACTGGATAGGCAATCTGGTTGTGATATTGTGAGCCTCTGGAAGTCTGGGACTGGGGAGTGTTTCTACAGTATCAAGTGATACTAGTTCTTATCAGGTAGGTCCAGCTCATTGTTATATAGTGAGATACGCTGAAGATTACCCACTGTGGGCATGCTGATCACCCCTATAATGCCTATACACTGGGTCTAGTGTTGTAGGAAGCGTCAGCTCACCATGCAACTGTTGTACAGATTATCTGTTCAAACATGGTGAATCTGATCTGTGTGAGGTATACTGGGCTTACTGAGCACGCTCTACAAGCTGCAGTATGTCTGTAGTACTTTTGCCTGGGAAACAGACCAACTCTATTTTTACATAGCAATTCTGTTTGTATGCGCTTTGTACCTGGAGCCACACCTTTGTACTACTACAGTACAGTAGTACATGCAGAGGCATCTCAGAGCTGAATAAGATATTACAAGTAGACATTACTGAAAATATCTTGAAGACTTCAAAAGAAAGGACATACTGATTAATTGTTACTTCATTTCTGAAAAATTGTTGGCCTTGCTCTCCTTTCCCTTCTAAAAATTCATCTTTCCTTCCTCCAATTCAATTTCCTCCTTCTCATTCAGTTCCACCTTTCACCATCTTTTAGTGCACACCTCAGGAATAGCAATGCAACCAGATAGCTACTAGCAAGGTCTCTTCACTCCAGATACTCAAACATTTGTGTTGGAAGAGCCAGACATTTGTCTGCATTCCCTTAGGTACTGCTCAGCACTTCAAGTTTGACTCCTGTCTGTGCCTCATTCCCTTAACTCCTAATTCACTATTCCATCTCACTTTTTTTCCCCCCCAACTCTGCTGTGTAAGGAAACATCAGGTATGGTAAAGAAAGAGGGAAAAATAAAAGCAAGCTTTTCGGCTTGTGGTCAACATGGATGAAAGTATTCTCTAGCAACTGAAAGACTGGAATCTCTTCTTATCTCCTCTGTGGTAGGAAGCAGAGCACAGGTACCAGGAATCACTGGGAAAAGACAGTGCAAAGCAGAGGTACAGCCTTTAATACCTGCTAGTATCTCCATACATTAGAAAGCTGTCTTTGCAGTCACAAGACCTAAACTTCTTTTATAAAGCTTCAGCTCTGCACAAACAAAGAAAGCTGCAATGTGAAAAGAGAGCTAACTCCCCGGAGGAGTTTCTAACAAAACCAAAGGAGGCAAAGACTTTCTGCATTTTCTACTTGTTTTTTTTAAATATCTTTTATATTGACTTCAAAGGGAAAATATGCTATAAAACACTTTTCCAATGTATTTAGGAGCAGCAAATTGTCACTTTATTCTTAAACAAGGTAAACAAAACCATGAAATGCATAGCTCAGACCTGTCAAAAGCCTCACTGCCTTTAAATCAGAAGAAACATTTTCATACGGCATCTTCAAAACAATTTTACTGGAATTCTGTCTGGCAATGAAACTAGTATTTGAAATAGTAACCCTACCTACCTTTAAATTGTTAAATGTCAGAGCTGGGCTTATGTTCACAGTGGAACTAAATGATGAACAGCACCAATTGAATGACCTTTATTGAGCAAACAATTTGTTGCAGTCTCTGTTGAAGCCTTTGCATTGACATGACTTTAGATTAGGTGTTACGTTAGAATAAATGCTGCTATGTAACAGTAAAGGAAACTTTCGAAATATTACTTTATTCCCCCTTCCTCCCTAAAGCCTGTCACTTAATTCTTATGCACCAGTTAAACTGAAGTCTGAGGCTACTTGAAACACTTGAGTTTGCTTTGAAAATTAATCCACATTGAAGAGAAATCAAGAGTAAGCACAGCTCCAACTCTTTCTGCTGCAGTTATATTGTGTACACAGATGATGTAAAAAAACTAACTGTAGTTTCTAGGTTAAGGGCCAGATTGTGTCAGGAACTCAGGTAGCAATGAGCTTTTCTTTTCCCCCCTAATACCTGAACAGCTTGCAAATGAACGAGACGCAACTATATTATCTTCAGGGTGTCATGCATTGTATTGCTCTCTCCATGCTCTCCAGGAGCACTGAGGTGGGTATTCATACCTAGTAAAGAGCAAACTCAGGTGCTTGTATTCAGAAAGAAATCTCTCCAAACTCCTTTTGCAGCAGTGCCTTTTGGAAATTGTATTCCAGAGTCCTCAGCCGTGTTCTCTGCAGGGTGTGCTCTGGAAATGAGCTGTGTCCCTGTCCTCTTCCTATTCAGGATGTGGTATTAACACAGGGTAACTTGCCCCTCTGAATGCGAAGCTGCAATGATCGGATTCATCTTTTCAAATGCCAGCTTGTCTTTGGTCAACCTGCAACACAGAATTGTGTTTATATGGCATGATTTGCTTTCCTGAGCACAGGAAATTGTATGTAATATATAAAGTGTCTCTTTAAGCACCAGGCACTTTTCAGAAGGGTGTGGAAGCAGAATACCAGACTAAGTACACAGCTCACAGACAAGTGATGAGAGCACAGATGGGATGCAGTGCCTGAAGCCCATGGGGAATGAGCAAGAGACCTGAGCGTGCATTTTGTTCAATGATGGTTGGGTAGAGACTGTGCACTTGGTAGTGGATTCTGATTTTGTATTTCAGTGCAGTCATGTGAATTTTGATGAGGTTCAAGAAGCTACCTATTTAGTTAGTCACACCTTAGGGAAATTTTCATATGCTAAATGTTTGAGTAGCTTGCTCTCTTCTTTTAGCATGCTTCTGTTGTCATTGGGGGGAGGAGAACTAGACTCTTCTTGTTGATTACTTCAGACAAACTGGTGGAAGTCAACTGTAGTAAATAATCAAGTCTGTGTTAAAAAACCCCCTTCTGCAATTCTGTGCTAATAAAAGGAGGAATTCACTGGTATCCATGACAAATTCAGTGGAAAATAATCAGCCCTTGTGTGTGGTAGATCAATTGTTTCTTTCTCAACTTGAAACCTATCAGTAAGTTTATCAGGTAAAGATAATTGGTTTAGACATGTTTCATGCTTCCGATGTTAGTGTAGCTGTTTAACTCCTTTTATAGGTTTGCACTTTGTTAGCTGTCATGTGCATAATTTATGATCTGTTTTTTCAAAGCTTGGAATTCTATGCGTTGGGCGCCGTGCATCTTCCTTTTAAGCTTTGCTACTGCAAACTTCAGAACGAAAGGGATCAAACCAAATTTAATGTATAAACCTACAGCTAATGGGTGACTGGAATACTACAGCTAATGGGTGACCGGAATAGCAGTATGTATTCCCTGCAGACCAATACTTCTGCAGGAGTCCTGCAGAAGTCCTGCAGACTCAGGTTTTCTCCCTTTGCAGGATTCCAACTGCGTGGAAAGGACATACAAAATTGTTTGATTTATTTTTCCAAAAGTGGTGCATGTATATTCAGTTACCAGTGGCATGTATTCTTCATCTGAAATAGGCTGTGCAAAGCTTGGAATACTTGGTTGGGTGCTTATCAGCGTTAAAAGTCACGTGGCTGGGTGACCTGCTAGACCTCTTTGTGTAACTGAGGTATTACATGGGGGTAAAGGAATCAGGAGAGCAGGAGGTCATAAGGGAACGAAAGGGGAGTAGGAGCCTACTCCAGGGCAATATGTTTGGATGTAAGTGAGGAGCTGGGAAGTGGAAGTTAACTGAGCTTCATGCAACTACACTTCCATACAGTTAAGCAGCTGTGTACTTGCTTGTGGCAAAAACCCATTTTGTTATTATGACTTGGAGATGGTTCATTCAGAGAGCCCTCCAGGCTATAGCATAATGAAGCAAAGCCTTCCTCTCTTACTGAGTTGTAATAATTTAGTTAAATGCCAGGTAAAATAATAAAAAACTTCTGGGTGACTTAGAAGTCTGAATTCCTTTTTCATCAGGTTTCTTAGAACAACGATGAATTGACCTTACACTGTATTTGAGCCAGTGAGAAAATGGAACCTAAATACCTGTTTCTTATGTGTACCTCTATTAGTTTGTTTAAAAAAAAAATCTTGGGTTTGTTAGGGAACGTAGAAAATAAGTAATATTATTGTTTTACTTCATAGTTAAATTAGGCAAGCTAGTTTGTTGGGGCTGAATAGTAAGCAGCAGTGTTGGCAGAAAGAGAGTAGGAAATTAACTAAAAGCATAAAGGAGAAACTGAAGGGGAAAGATATTAAGTGCCCTGAAGAATTGTTTTTCTTAACAATTTATTCTTTCCTAGACCCTTAACAACAAAACTGGGCAGACTATTCTATTATTATTCCGTTTTATACCTTAAACGTCTATTTGATCACTTACACTACTCAGACTGCAGAATCTTATCTTCTAAATCTTGATGAGTGCCTCATGTAAATAGTGCATTTATTTCTGGTGGAAGAAATTATTTTTTCTTTGTGTACTGCTTAGTTTTCTTTTATTCTTTCTCTTAAGGCACTTTCACTTTACTTTGCTGTAATGCTTTAGCTAATAGTCTTTAAATAATACCTGTTAAAATAGATTTGAAATTGAAATACAGACTATATTAGGATGACCAAGATTTTAGGAAAATGGTGGAATTTTAAGTGCTGCTAATAGTTGTTTGCTAGCACAAGTCTTTACTGGATGACAGAAATGTACTGGATAACAGAGTTGGAAAGAGTTATTAGATTATGTTTTATTGGGATTTGAGCTGCTCTTCTGAACTTTCTTCAGTCCTGAGATAAAATACATCCACGTCAGGATGTAGTTTCCACAACTCTTTTGACCACTGTTTTTCTCTATTTGTATCTAGTACAAACATGACAGAAGCTTCTGTGGACACGTATAGGTAAGAATCATTCATACATGTCCTTTCTGCAAAGCTGGTACTGTTACTAGTGCTAGCAATCTACAACTCTCACCCTTTAGCCCTTACTGTCCTCGTCATGCAGGGATAATTCCTGCAAAGCCCAATTAGCTTGAGATCTGTGATGAGAGAAGCAAACCCAGATGATACCAGAAGTGGTGCCTTATCCTGGAATGTGGCTGTGACAGAAAAGGACTTTTTATTGTTTCCGTTTCCATTTTTGCACAGTCTGGATCTAAATATTTATTCTAAATATTTGGGGGGAGGGATGGAAATTTAAGTACAGCATTGCAGGTATGTCACCAATATCATGACATTTCAAAAATCTTTGGGAAATCATATATTTCTGTTTATGCACTACTTTCAAGAAAAATCCTGTTAAAATACCTAAAAACAAATTCATATGAAAAAATCATAATTGAGTGTCTATTTTGGTTATTCATTTTTTGACTAAAAAAAATGGATGGAAGGAATGTAAATTTGTGGAAAAATATGTACTGCGTCACATTAATAAACCCACTATTAAAACAGCCATCTAGGTTATATCCAGAAAGAGAAAATGAATTTTAAAGAACTTATGCCTAAAAGTTCCACTAAGATATGTATTCACTTCACAAGCAAATGTGTGTTTCATAACAAAACAGAATAAAAATATAAGAGTCACTGGTGCAGAACTCTTGAACTTTCTGCAAAAATCATCATGATTCAGTAGAAATATCACTGAATATAGTAAAGGATGTAAGGTAAGGGAACTGCTTTTCTTTATAAACAGAAGAAAAAGATCTCTTCTGTAAAAAAACTTAAGTAAGAAAAAGTAGGATTGTATCAATTATTACACAGTTCACATAAGTTTGCTAAAGAAAGTGTAATCCTGAATTAATGCAGCTTCTTTAACTTGGCAGTACAAGGTTTGGTTTGAACTCAGAAACCTCTTCTGGAATTTTAATATCTCCTTAAATAAGCTCACAAAAAAGAGATGTTCTGCAAAGGGGACTTTGCATCAATTATTTTAAGCCTTCCAAAAAGGAGCATGTGCAAGTTTCCCACATCCGTTTTTGTGACTGCGAAGACCCCGACTTGTGAGTATATCTGTCCTTTTAATCAGCTTGAACGTGTGCTTATAGATTTCCTAGTTGCACCTTTAGAGTGACTAGGTTTGGACCCATTCCTGCAAGGAGGAGCTTAAATACCTCAGAGCTGCATTTACTAGCGTTACTAGCTCCATATAATAATGCTCACAGGCCACTGTTTTTATCTGTTAGCGCTAGCATATTCTTCCTTTAGTTTGCTGCTTCTACCTCATACTGTATGGCAAGAACACATACAAGAGGAAAAGCCATACTTTTCAAACAATATTGATGTTCCTGTTTAGGCTGCTGGAGGTGATTTTGGAACTGTGGAGAAGCTAAAGGCATGAAAATAATCTTTTACTGCCTTGCTTACTCTAGCAATTTTTTTCTTTTCTACAATGTAAATCTAAAGCAGCCTCAAAATTTGTCAGTCTGTCTTAATAAGCACATCACTATTTCTGAATGCTGTTCTGAAAACCACAGCAAGGAAACCTATTTTTGTGCCGGCTTTTGAAATGAAGACCCCGACTTTGAGGAAAGATGCGTATTTTGAAATGCATTATTGTGTCAAGCTAGTGGCAGCCAAATAAATTAAAGAAACAAAAGGGAAAACCGTTGTGCAATCAGTTCTGGACAAGGAAAATAGAGAAAGGACATAAAAAAGGGTGACAGAGTGAGGAAACCTATAGGATAGACTCTATTTCTACTACCCATACCACCAACTTTTTGAAGAAGTGAAATAACGACAGTGGGAGAGGGGAGAAGGTTAGAGACAAGTAAATGAAGGCAGAGGAAAGACTTGTGTGAAAGGAGAAAAGTATAGATGTGATGAGATAAAGGCAGACATAGATGAGGGTGCAATTTTGGAAAGCAAAAAGGATGTAACTGACAGACCGCAGAAGCAAGTGCAGAGGGCAGAGCTGATTAAACAAGAATTTGTCACCTTGCACATTTTCATCAGAACAGAGCTCTGTGAGCTCCAACTGACTTTTCAGTCAATTGGTTCCACCCAGTGTCACTGGGTTGGTTCCCTCTTTCTTTTGTCTGACGCTGATCAAAAGACAGGAAGATGAAGTCATTGCCAACAGGCTGTGGAGGGCATTTTGCATAATACAGCTGCTTACACAACGAAATGTATCAGTTTAGATACTATGCCAAGTAGCTACAAATAGATCTTTTCATTAGATGACATAACAGCTCTATGTTTCATATGATTTATTTTGCTTCTTCTGGTGACAAACATTACTGCGTTATAATGCCAGACTGATTTCTATAAGGGACTTCTAGTTGGTGTCTAGCTGACTTAAATCCAGCTATGCCTCTGCTTAGGTTTAGGGTTTACTCCAAGAGTTTGATAGGTGGTGCCGAGAAGAGCAACAGCAGTGTGAGGGGAAAAAAAAGACTGTGTGAGTGAGCTTGGTTTTACAAAGCAGTCATCTGATTTCTGGGTATAGAAGTTATGAAATAATAGGTGTCTGTTCCTACCTTATTGAGTAGCTCATTTAGCATTTATTTATGCAGACTGCAGAGTCCTGTAAAGCTGATAGTTTATTGCATACCTGAATTTTTCAGAGTGAAAATCTTTCAGAAGCACTTGTGTTTTGCTTTAAATCAAGGAAAACAGTCGTAACGATGAATTTAGTTGTTCAGCTAATCAGAAAAATAGTGGAACACTCTCCTGGCTTGTTGTGTAGTATGAACTGCTTCAGAAGGACAACAACCCCACACTTTGAGTTTCAAAGCGAATCTGTCCGGGCTGGAACTTATGAGCATTCATCTAAGAAATAATGGACTGCAATGAGTTAAACAGCTGCAAGTTAAATTAACCCTAGAACGGGTTCCCAAAGAGGAACAAACCTTAAAAAAAAGCCCTCTTAGAGAAGGGTCTGGCAAGAAAGAGAAGCCATCATACTGCTGCTTCTTTAAGAGGAGATGAACCAGGTGTAGGTATGTAAGGAGTGAGTTTCTCACGTGCAGAACTTGTCCTACTGATGTCTGGGGTGCCAAGGACTTGGAGTCAGGTGAGGATCTGGGCCTTCATTTCAACCTCGGGAAGACCATGTCAGCAGCCCCGCTCTGCAGTAGTTTGTTAACAGCATCCACTGCAGAGAAAACAGCTTAACTTCATGGGTTGACAGCAAATAGCTATGTTACAAAACTGATTAAGAAGATTGGGTTAAACTCCTAAAAATTGCTTGACCACTGAGAGCTTTTTTTTTTTTTTGAAGTGGAGAAAAAATGAAGTTTATTGATTTGCATTGACTTCAAATGAATAGCCCCGGAACGATAGCCCCAGAGAATGAAGTAACATTCATGAAAGAGTTTATATTACATATTTGGGTATCTTCTTTTTCAGCTTTTCAATTCTAAGATTAATTGCTTTTGACCTCAGTCAAGGACATTTGTGATATTCAAACCTTTCTAATATTACTAAAAGGAATATTCTCAAGTACTGCCTTAGATTCTAATTTATATCTCTGGTTAACCGTATGAGAGCTTTGACAATTGCATTTTTCCTTTGCCAATTTTATCCTCATTTTAAAACTGTTTTCCCCCCTCATCTGTACCGAACAAAAGCCAAAAGCGTTTCTGAGGTTGATTGTCTTGCTTTTGTGCCAAGATGCTTTGTTTCCTTTTTTTTTTTAACTGCATGGAAACAAAATTAGTTCAGCCACATACAGCAAACTTTTAGCTCTCCAGAGCACAGTTAGGCAGTCAAGACATTCAATAGCAAGCATTTATCAGGAAGTACAAAGGCACTGTTAAACTTTGGGCTTGTGCAGGTGCATAACTTAGTGTCCAAGGAGGCACGAGTAGTTGAAATGTGTAAAACGGAACATATGCATACATGCTTTGGAGAAAAAATGTCAATTTTACTTTAATTTTTAACGTGAGTAAGAGAGAACCCAAATAAATGTTTTAGGCAGTGGTCACCTCATTAACTGCATGCAAACTTGGATAATGAAAAAGTGAAAGCAGATTTTTTTAACACAAAAAACCCTATGAAACTATTCTCCACAAACGATTCTTTAGGCCTCCTCTGTACTTTCTAAGGGGCAATAATCTTTACTGCTTGTGTCTTCAAATGGAGAAGAAAAAGTGAACTTTGTGGAACATGCAGAATATCAGATTTGTGGTGTTGTTGATCAGCAGATGTCGAGAACTTTTGGAGAGTATCTTTGGCACTCCTTTGCAATGAGGGAGCTTTAGTCTGAGTACATCCTTGTCCTAGTTGTGGCATTGTATAGTGAGAAAGATGTGAATGCCAGATAGTGTTTACTGAAAGAAAAATTCTTCATACTTTCCATCATGCTGAAAAACTTTTTCCACATTTGTTCATGTTAAGAAAACAAATACAGTCTTAAAACAAAGGACACCAAATTGCAGTTTCCACTGTTTGTATCGAAACCCTATGTTTAGCTATGAGAGCTGCTCTGTTTTACTGTACAATATTTTAAATATTTTAGTTGAAATAATCTAATTTAATATTTTAATTAATAATTGCTAAATATCAAAAAGGCTTATGTGTGTTATTTATGTTATATATATGTATTCCCCAATATACAGGGATCAAGTATTTTAATAAAGTACTTTTATAATTAAAAAAAAAGAAATATCAGCTTTACATCATTTTGCAATTCTGGGGCTGTGCAAATAATGGTATAAATTGAGGGAACTGGCAGACATTTGATTGCAGTGCCTTCAGTTTTCTTAAAAATGGTTTGACTCAGGGAGAGAGCTGCAATTTGACATTCTCATGCTTACAGCATGGCGAGATACAAGCAAAACCCTGTGCAGTGCCTTCACGGTAATGGCAATTGCTGTTAATGCAAAGTTTTTTTTTTTTTAGCATCCCTGTGGAATTGTAACAGTGAGGCCTTGACCCTCTGCTGGGATATGATAGCTCTGATGTCTGTATACATGTGTAAGTCACTGGTTTGCACTAGTGTGCTTTTCTGTCACAGGTTGTCATCTCATCTATTTATTTTAAAAGACTGCAAGAATTTAACTGGGTCTTAAACTGAACTCAGTCTTAAAATACTTTACAAAGATAACTCAGGTAAAAACAAGTTATGGTCACAAAAATGGCCTTCCTACAAAATACAGTTAGTGTAAAAAAGTGTTTTTAATTTTGGTTCAGGCAATGATTAAATGAGAGCACTGCTGTGCTTGATTTCAGATTCACAATTCATAAGATGCTATTTTCTTGCAGAGAGAGAGCGAGAGCGAGAGCGAGAGGTGAGCACTCTTAAAATATACTCTTTATTCATCATGATAAGTAGGTAATTGCGCCTGAAATGAAATCTACCAGCTCATATCTAAGAGCAGAACTGTGCCCCTGCTCTTTCAAGGAAGACAGGCAGTGACCTTTGCCACGTGCCTGAAAAAATGGTTTATTTTATCTGTACTGTGCTCTGGAGGTTCAGCCACATAGATGTCTTGCTTATCTACACTTGCCTTTTATGTCCTAACCAAAAGAATCTTCAAATAGCATAAATAAGGTATATTCAGCAGTAAACTACAATACCTAAACTTAGAGAAACACCAAATTACCTTTGTTTAAAACCATAGCTCTTAAAAAAGAGTGAAATTATTTGCAGAGGTGAGATGGAGAATCAGCAGCTTCCCCATTTACAAAGGAGCATTTGGGAAATAGCTGGCCTTATGTTTGTTGTGTTATGATAAAAGCTAAGAGAAGGAGCTATATATTATTAGATCCAGACGCTGCGGAATATAAATACCTTTCAGGATCTATGCTGTAATGGCAAGAAACCCTTAGTTATTATTTGGGACCTGTTGTGTTCCATGCTGTGCAAACACAAAGGAAAAATTGTACTTTTGTCCCACGAATATTTAAATCTGACTATAAATGAAGGCCAAAAAGGGAGGACAAGGAATCAGTGGGCTGGTTTCAGTCAGTCAGATAGCCCACTGTGTTAGCACACCAGCAATATAACCAGTGTTGCAGTTCTTTGTAGGCTGCCTAAGCAAAGATTTATGTGAGAAGAATAATGAGGCAGCTATGCAGATGTTCATGTTAACAGATGTCCCACATATCAGGGACAGGAAGGAGGGAAGCATAAAAGATTTTTCTGTTTGCTTGCTTACTCTTTAATGTAGTAAGTGCACAACATTAGCTGATCGCCATCTCAATAAGCGTTGTTTGATAGGGTAGAGATACATGTGCACATTTTGAAAATGAATACCAGTCTTCTCTATTTTCTTGTAATAAAACAGGGGAGCCAGTGGAGGGATGCAAAGAGACACCTGTTGTAGTCAAAACAATGAACTTGGAAATGACTTTTTCAGCAGCTTTCTGGGTACCTATCAGTAGAGTCGGCTTGCCACTAGAAAGGAGGTTACAGTAATGTTATCTAGATCCTATGGTTAGATAGGATGTCCAGCATCCTAGAAGTGGAGTGGAGCTTGCTAAGCTGATCAAGATTTGGACCTAAAATGGATGTGAGGATTTAGAGGAAGGTCTAACTCAAAGGTAGTAATCAGCTGACATATACAAATCCCTTGAGGCATAGTACTGATGAGAGAGATTCAGTGACTGGGAAAGGGAGAAGGGGAGCTCAAGAGAAAATTTAAGAGCATCATAATTTTAGTCATGTTGAGATGAGTTGATGACTGGATGTCTATGAGACACAGATTTTACTTGAGACAGAAGGAGATAGTTGAGAGTCATGCAGTGCAGAAACAATAGTTTAACTCGTGTTTGTGAATGTCACTGCCTGGGGATACCGTTGTCCTGGGGATACTATTCTTAAACAGTCTTCAATGCTGGAGATTCTGCAACTTGCATACTTGGTCTTCCATATTGATTCACTGCCTTTATCATTAAAAAGTTCTTCCTGATGTCTAACCTGAACTGATTTTGGTGCAGGTTGAGCCCATACTTTGTCCTCAGTCATGGATATGACAAATTATTCCCTTCCTCTTTGCAACAACCTGTTTTTGCAGACCTATATTTGCAGACTCTAATTGTACATGCGGCCATTCATTCTTCTCTATTTGAGATAAAACGGCAGTTCCTTCAGTCTCCTTATAGCTCATCACCTCCATACATCATTGTCGCCATTCTTATCAGAATTTGTTTTCCACAGTTAGCCCACATTTTTCTTGAAGTGTGATACGCAGATCTGGGTAGAATGATCAAACCAAGGCTTTAACCATTTTTGAGGAGAGTGGATGGATTGTTTCATGTGTTTTGCACAGTGTGCTCTTGTGTATAGATCGCAGCATGATGTTTGCTGTTTTCACTTGATGACATTGGAGGCTTATGTCCATATTTGATTGCCGGGGCCCTCAGACTCTCTTTTGAAGATGGCACCCAGCTAGTTATTCCTTGTTCTGTATCTGTTTTTGCAGATATGCTTAAGCATAATGCTGTGTACTGCATGTAAGAATTTCTGTCAGATTTTTCCAAACCATGTCACCAGCATGTTAAGATTATTTTGAATTCTAATCCTACACTTTTGCACAGTTACGGCTTCATAATCTCTGCAAATGTAATAACCGTGATCTAGTTCATCCTCCATTTCTCTTTTTATTGTCTTCAGTAACTTTACTAGTCCTTCAGAAAATACCTGTTGTGAGTTTTGAGACTGAAATACCGAGGTCTCATTTCTGGATGGCGATTGTTTGCTCAGAGCCAATAGTTTTATATGTAAAGTTAGGATATTTTTCTCCTGTGACTTCAGATTTACTTTACATTGAATTTCATCTTTCATTCTATCCTTCATTCAGTCTTATGAAGTCCTTCTACAATTCGTAATTCTTTCCTGACTCAAGTAACTAGCTCTTATCAGGAAATTTTGTCATCCCACTATTCACAACCTTTTCCAGATCATAGGTGACTATCTTAAACAGTGTACGCGCCAGCACAGATCCCTCAACTAGGGACCTCCCTCCACTGTCAAAATTGACCATTAATTTCTACTTTTTCCTGTTTTCTGATCAATTATATGTCCATGTGAGGCCCTTTCTCCGCCACTGAGTCTCTGTAGGAGCCTTTGGTAAGGAATCTGATAAAATGCCTTTTGGAAATACTTGCAGACTGTATCAGCTGGATCTTCTGCACTCATGTTTGTATTTCACTCAGGAAACTGGAGTAGATTTTTGAGGTTTGATTTCCCCTTACAGCTGCCGTATTGGCTTTTCCTCAGTATGTCATATTTACGTATGTGCATACTAATTCTATGTTTTGTTACTGTTTCTGCTTGTTTGCCTAGTACAGCTGTCAGACTTAATGGCCTATGTTCCTCAGACCTCCCCTTCACCCCTTTTTTAAAGATTGGTGCCGTATTAGCTCCCTTCCATTCCTCTCATGCCGAAGTGATTCAAGTGGGAAGCTGTTCACTTCAGTTAATAGTTCAGCCACTGTCGGAGATAGGATTTTGAGTTAGGTGTACATTGGTTTGGTTCTTAAGTTTGCTGAAGTTCAGTTTCAGTGCTCAGTTGGAGTTCTTTCTCCTCTCTCTGTTGAGGACTGTCATGAGAATGCTTTCACAATCAAAGAATCAGAATCAAAGAAGTAATATAGCTTGGATGGGACTTCTGAAGGCCCTCTGGTTCAACCCCCTGCTGAAATCAGGGCCAGCTGCGATCAGGTTGCCAAGGGCCTTGTCCAGTCAAATTTTGAATATCTCTGGGGTGGAGGTTTTGCAGCCTCTCTGTGCATCCTCCTCCAGTATTTGACTGCCTTTGTGGTGACATTGTTTTTCCTGATAACAAATCAGATGTTCACTTGCTACAGCTTATGCCCGTTGCCTCTCATCCTCTCACCGTGCAGCTCTGAGAAGAGTCTGGCTCTGGCTTCTCCATATCCCCCCATGAGGCTGTTGAAGATCAAGATGCTTTCTAGTTCACTCTCCTCCAGCAGTCTCTTCCTCCTATCAGAAACAAATCTAGAGAAGTATTTATGCATAACTCTTTTTCACTGATGCATTTTAAGAACTTACTGGACAGAACATGTTCTTTCCCAAGAGATACTGGAGTCACTAACATGCCTTATTACTACCACTCAGTTTGTTATGAGTGATTTTGCAAATGGCTTACAGAAAGTCTCATTGATCTCATTTTCCTGATTTGGTTTCATCAGTAAACTTTCCAGGATAGATCCTTTATTCTTTTCCCTGTTCCTTCGTAGTGGGTTTCCACATTCAGAGCAAAATTTATGCATCCTTCATGTACAAGTTAACATCACCTTCCACCTTTTCTCTCATCTGTCTTTCTGAAACAAACTACATTAAATGCAAGGCAGTTGAGTTACGCCATTAAGTCTCTGCTTGGCCATTAGATTCATAATCCTGATCACATACTAAGATTTTCACCACTTCTTGTTTTTTCCTTTTGGTGTGCAGACATTTAAGATGTTCAGGAATTTGCTCCATTTTTTTCTTTTGTTATACTCATTTCACCTTCAGCCATTTGTTTTGACAGTATTGCTTTTGTCTGTATTACTGGATAACTGTTATTAAAATAGGGTTGCAGTATGACTTTTTAAAGTCAAATTATGAAGGAAAGCAACTTGTTTCTCAGAATAATATGTAGAAAACCAAAATGTTTTCACGGAGTGGATTTTCTTCTGAAATGGATCTGTAAACAATAGTTATAAAAGGGAGCCTCTAAACACCCCAAGTGATGAGGCTGTAATGCAAGGAAAGATTACAAAAGAACAAGCTAAGTGTAAATGTAATGGAAGTCATGGTGGAATTGGGTGAGAACTGATATCTCATGTTCTGAGAGGGTGATCATGAAGAACATACTGCTTTCAAGCATTTATTACCCTATGAAATACACCCAGAATTTTAAATGAAGGGGTGAATCCTTCAAGAGATTACAAGAGTCCTTCAAGAGATTACAATCCTTCAAGAGATTACAAGATATATGATGGATACATTGAATTTACAGTTATTT